GAAAAGAAGCAGAAGCGAGGGAGAGGGAGGAAAGAGGGAGGGGACAGGAGAAGAGGGGGGGAAGGAGAGGGATGAGGGAGATATATTATGGCCTTGAAAGAAAGACAACTAATTATTTCTTGTTACAAAGGTAACAACTGTGATTCCCCTGCTTCTACTGCCGCTAAAATCCAGGGCCCTTTGAGGCAATTTTAGTGCCATCTCCATGTCGCTGAGAGTTCGTACAGGGGGAACTGAAACTCTGATGATCACCCCAAGTCTCCACAGAGTGACAGCAGACACATATATTACAAGGACGAACTTAGGCCCTATCCAGATTTATAAAGTCTTATTTTCTGAAGGAAAAAAAAAAATAAGGTAAATCTTGCTGAAGGAGAAGAAAGGCTTTGCCCTGTTCCCTTCCTGTCTTTCCTAGCCTTTTGACTGAGAATGTTTAAGTCTCCTTGTGATGTGGCTAGGTAGATGTGGTTCTATAGGAGAGGAAGCCCCTTTCCTTTCTGAAAATGATCTTCAGAGCTCTGCAGTAAGACATTTTTTTTTTTTCTGTGCTTCTGTGCTTCAGAGATTCTGTCTTCACAGCCTTGGGGATGTGAGGTTTGAAGGGTCCTGCTTACCCACATGCAATCCCTGCACTGAAGAGGAGAAATCAGGACACTGAGACAACACAGGGCGAACCACTGGGCCCCAGTAAAACAGGATAGAGAGTTTACAAGCACAAACTTGTAAGCATATGGGACTGTTATGCAAGCACAGTTAGTGGAATAATCGAGATCAATTTGGCGATGTTTTGAAACATAACAGACTTTTAAAATTCAAAAGTCCTTACTCAGCCAGATTTATTCGTATCAGCATTTTATCCACCAGTAATTTCTGAATTATTCACTGAATGTGGCACAGAGGGCTAAATAATTTCCTGCAAATGAATTTGTATTTTAAAGTGGGTGTGTCCGTTGCTCTGAGAATTCACCACACCCTAAACAAATTGAATCCAAATGGAAGGCTCTGATAACAGGAAACCAGTGTGGCATTTTCTCATGCAGAACAGATAGGTGGTACACTGTTCAGTGAACCTAAGTTTGTCAACACCCCCAGCACACATACTCCTTCTTTTATCCAAGTTAAATGTCCTACACTATCCCAGCTGCTGAGGTCATACAAGAGAATGAAAAGTGCCTGCGCCTGGTGGCACACAGGCAGGCCCATCTCTGTGAGTTCAAACCCAACCTGGTCGACATAGTTAGGAGCCTGTGTAGGCATAAGGCCATTGTGTATTCAAATGCTGATTTCTGTATCCCCCACATCTGGCTGCAAGCCTTGTTCTAAAAAAATCTGTCTCAATGTTATATAAACTCTGCTCCTAAATGGTTTCCTGATATGTCAATAAAGCAGCGTACAGCCAATCACTGAGCAGGAGAGAGAACAGGGCTCAACACAGGAGGAGTTAGAGGAGACAAAATGGGGATTCGGCCTGGGGCATGGGCAGAATTCCAGAAGACACCATCAGAGGAGCTCAGCAGTAAAGCCACAAAATGCAAGTATCCTAGGATGGAAGGTGGGAGGAAATCATATTAGCCTAGAGGGTTAAGACTGGAGTAATAACTGCTCAATTCTTGTGTTGTGAAGCTTATTATAAACAAATATGAAGATCTCATTTATTTGTATGACAGCCGGGTTAGAGTTAAACTAAGAGAAACAAGCAGAGTTAATAAAAATAACCATAACAAGCCTGTCTCAAAACAAAAACACAAAAGTAAAACAGAAGGAAAGAAACCATCTGCCCTGGAGGCCAGCATTTGTGATACAAGGTCCACAATGTTTATAGAGTCACCACACTATTATAATAGTTGTTAATGGAAAGTTACTGCAGAAAGAGAGAACAGACACTTAGGCCACCGTCAAGGAAATAACCCTGGAAAAATGCACTGTGGGTTCTCGAAACACAGGGGAAAATATGCACAGAGATTTCAAGGCAAGACACATGGCATTTCCAAGGAACTTGGAGCTTGTAATGGCTAGCATTTGGTGTCAATTACACATCTAGAGCCACCTGGGTCTACATATGCACATGGGGATTGTTTTAATTCTGTTTATGAAGGCAGGAAGACCTGCCCACTGTGGGTGGCACAATTCCCTGGCTGGTATCCTGATCTGAATAAATGGAGAAAAGAAACTCAGCAGCAGAATACATTAATCCCTCTCTGCTTCCTAACTTTCAGAGCCACGTGACCTGCTGCTTCAAGCTTCTGTAGACTTGACTTGCCTGCTATGTTGGACCGTGCCTTGAACCAAGAGCTAAAATAAAACCTTTCTCCCTTACGTTGCTTTGATTAGAGACTATTTTGTCATGGCAAAAAGAAAATAAACTAAGGCAGATCTCAAGTTCAATAAACATGTCTACATATACTTTAGAGATACAGATATTCATATCATTTTTTTGAAGTGATATTTGATAAGAATGATCAATTCATTTCTGGGGTGCCTTCAATATAACCAAACAGTGTCACAGAAGGTGGGTGCCTACTCTAGCCATATGGCTCTCTGCAGACTACACCTCATTCTTAAAGCCTTCAAACACTAGGAACTGCTTCAACTTTAAGAAGACACTTAGGATGGGCTTTCAGTAACAGAGTTACTGAAAATTTCTGTTTTATTCAATACCACATTATCCTATAAACTGCTTTGCAGAAAGCTGAGCTAGAATATACCCGGAGTCTCTCTTGGGAAGTAGATCACACTTTCTTATATTCTTCAAGGTGCCTAATTTCCATTCTGATCTTTATAAGTGGGTTTGGGGCTAGGTGGCTCTCCATCACGTCATTAGGTCCTTTCTATCATCAGCTGCACAAACTGACATTGTTACAAAGCCAACTCCTTCCTCTCTGTCTTGTAGCAGAGATTAGAGGAAGTTTGTAGCCCAAAGGTATAGAAGCAACTGGAGATTTTAGGGTAAGTACATTCAATTTCAGAGTGCATGGTGTTTTGGCTGACATTCCGAGCACCACTTTAAGTCTATTTTATTCTAGTATGATATATGGTAGCAGAACTTCAAAAGTCCTCTTATGAAGGAAGCAGCCAAAACATCTGCTGAAATTCAGAAGTCTGATTAAGGATGAAGTTGTCCTAGTTTCTTTGTTTTTGTTTTTTTTTTTTCTTTTGGACTGAAAGCAGAATTTATTAGTGGGCATGACTGACAACGGAGCAGCACAGTCAAAGCCTTCATGAGCATTGGGCCTTCCTCTTGTCCAGGGGGCCATAACTGGGAACATATCTGATCCCACAGCGATCCAGGTGAGACACTTCTTAGTCACAAACAGTCAGAGTCATCCGCATTGAATTTAGTATGAAGTTTCACTACTTTGAGATACAGATCTTTTGGCAACCAGGGAACTTGGCTTTGGCTCGCGCATACAGTCTCCATTACCCTCTTTATTCTGTCTTGAACCTATATTGAAAGCAGCCTGAGGTCAGAAACACGATTTTTTTACTGAACGGGGCTGACTCCAGGTCCTTTGGATCAGCACTCTGAGTGATAAATTAAGGTTATGTAACTATGCTCAAACATCAGGACCCAATGAGAAAAAAGAACAGGCTGGCAGTTTTGAAGTTTAACCAGAGCAAAATTACCAAATAACCAATCACTTAGAGTGAATGACAGTTTTCCAAAGCATTGGTTTTTTTTTTTTTTTTGTTTTGTTTTGTTTTTTTTTTTTGTTTTCAAAACTTGCATTGAAGAAGGTCTGGGTATTAATATTTTTAAAAAGAGAGTGTGGTAAAAGGAAATCAAAGTATTTAAATAATGGTCAAGGCAAAGTGAATGAAATACAATCAATACAAAGTTTTTATGAACATATAGAATAAAATGACATAACAAATGCACTTTGGGGCACAACAAAGTCTTTGGAAGTCAATAGACTATGATAAACACAAGAACATGCAGCTAAGATGTAAAGAATTTTAGCCTGTGAAGACACTAGCTACATTGTTAGGAGCTGTGTCTCACACCTGGTTTGGGTTTGAAGAGGTAATTAAGTTTAAAGCTCCTGTTAAATGCCGTGATCCAACACATAAAATAGTGTATCTTATCACTTACCTCGCTTGATTATGCTAATTAAAACCTTTAAAGTAATTTGATAGTAAATTAAGAGATGATATGGAAAGATTAGGTATGTCCTAATCTTTTGTCCTACTTGTTTTGACCACAAAATTACAGTTTCTCCTGCCCATCCATTACTTAAACCAAAAGATCTAGAGCGATCTGTTTAACGCCCAGGTAGGCGGTGTGTAAAAGGACAGAAAGGGGTTTTCTATGAAAGTGCCCACACTCCCGTGACTTAAAATAATAAAAGCAAGACAAAAACCCAAAACACCCACATACCTTGTCCCCTTTAGTTAAATTAGCTAAAAAGAGGCTTCTCCAAAGTCACTCCCACAAAAAAAAAAAAAATCAGTGATTCCATAAGAGAGAAATGCATCAAGGCATCTATTTTTCCATTCTCAGTCATTTGTGAATTGCCCCACTTTTATAGACAAAGCCCAACTCAGCCAAAAAACAAACAAGCCATGTTTCTCATTTAGATAAGGGCCAAAGATTACTTAGTGATCATGATTACCCAAAATTATTCAGTCTTGACTTCTAATCCCACAAGTTTACATCACGGTTTAAAGATGGCCTTTGAAAATACAGGAAGTCAGGAAATAGACTCATTATCATTTATCAAAGAAAAATAAAATTAATTGGAAAGCATTTTGCTCTCAATGTTTCCAAGGGACTTTGCAAAGGCAGCTGGTCTACCACGCTGTCTCTTGTTAGTTCTCAGCTTCAGGGGCTCTCGGCGCACAGAATGCAATGTTACTCCACTCAATAATGTATTTCTAGAAAAAGCCAAATCTCAACCAAAATGTTTCAGTAAACTATAAAATTAGTCTAAAATTAAAACAAAACAAAACAAAACAAAAAAAAAAAAAACTGAATAACTTCATGGACTAGTAAATATCATCTTCTCACGTGGCCTATGTCATTCAAAATTCAGAAGTCATCAAAGGCAGGTAGCAAAGCAAGTCCTCTTTTGTAACCCAGAACTCACGGCTCAGGATGAGTTTCTGATACAGACAAAAAGGACCATGACCCATAAGACAGCTCTAATGAAGAGGAGGCCGGGCCTGAGCCTTGTTTGTAATGTACAAGCATAGGTAAAGGGTAAACCAATATGCGCTACATCCAATGTCTAACTTCCATGTGACGGCCTTTTCAAGGCTTGTCTCAGACATGTGGCAGGAGTTGGTGATAACCTGCCTTACTACACTGAAACAAACCCTCAATTGCAGTAATAGTACATTGCCAATTTCAAACTATAGCTCTTTTCATTTTCAGAGGTTCCCAAATGTGATAGTAATTTTTTTTTTTAAAGAACTAAAGGAGTCTTAGATTTAAAAAGAAACCAAAAAATCAAAAATAAAGAAATCTTTAAACATGCCTAACTCAGTGTTTCTCAGACTTTGGGTCTTAGAATTATTACATCCTAAATTACTGATGAGCCTAATAGGCTTTCATGTGGATTATTTCTATTGCTACTGATTGCATACTGCATTAAAATGTCTTTTAACTTGCATGTTAGCTTAAATACAGTTTATGGAAATTTATATTCTGCATATTAGAGTTTAGAAAATGGTGGTATGGCCCATTTAAAAAACCGTTTCAGTGTGAATAATGTCTTACCCTGCTTTCCTCCTTTTGTTATGGAATGGTTGAAGCGTTAAACAAACATCTCACCTCATACATACAGGGTCAGAAAATGAAAAAGCACTGTCTTTTCAGATAATTTTATGTAATTTTTTTGGTATTTCCCCAAAATTCAACAAATGAAAGTTTATGAAAAGTTACTTACAATCTGTCAATTCTAGTTCTGAACATTTACTATAAAGATTGGAAGGAAGCTAGTGCCCTTGTTACTGCAGCCCTCTTCACAGTGGGCGAGGAGTGGAAAAGACCCACGTGACCACAAGTGGATGGACACCAACAGATGGCGGGAATATAGTAAGTGAAGACACAAAACAATACTATGCATCCTTCCAAAAAGAAATTTAGTCCGTTGAGACAATGGTGTGTAATTGTAGAATGTTATGCTTCATGAGATGAGCCACACATACAAAAATAACAAATGTTCTCATATATATGTGGACCTCAAGAGAGCAGAATGCATACCAGCAGGGAGTAGAGGGGTGGCCATGGAAGGCTGAGAGGCCAGGAGGATGGGAAGGCTCAGAGAGAACACAGTCTGAGAAGAGCTGTGCTTCATTTCTGAGCCCTATGCACAGCATGCTAAATACAGCCAAGAAACTGAATTTCAAAGGGTCTAACCACAAAAGATTGAGGGTAGATAGGTTAATAGCTTGATTTAATTAGTCTATTTTGTATTTGTAACTTCATTTTCAGGGTATCCGATGCCACTGTTGACACCAGACACACACGGCACACATACACCCACATACACAGAAGTAAAGCTTTCTAAAAACAACATAAAATCTGAAATCTGTTAGCTTAAATGTGATAATTCATCTCAAACTCTGAAGAGGTCTTTCACCATGAACAACTTTGGACAAATCCTTCTTCCCTGGGTTATACGGGTTATACAGCTACTCCAAATGTTAATTTCTTTTGAAAACATGAACACCACCACAGTCATTAATATCAGCATTGAAACAGGCTACAAAACATCATACAGTATCCCTCTGACATGGTCACCTAAGTTTTTATTTATCCATTTAAGCTTGCTTGAGGGTCAGCAAGATGGCTCAGCAGATAACGAACCAGCCGCCAGGCCTGACAATCTGAGTTCGAGCCCCAGAACCCACAGCATGGAAGGCAAAAATCAACACCTGTAGGTCATCCTCTGTGCTCGACACGTGCACCATTGAAAGCACATATCCACACACAAATACACAGAAGAAAGAAAGGAAGGAAGGAAATAAGGAAGGAAGGAAGAAAAACATTTTAAATATTCAAAAGGTTTCTGAAGAAATGGGTCAGTTTCACTACTATACATAATTCCAACTCCAGGGGGATCTAATGCCAAACCTGACCTCCTTGGGCACCAGGAACATACATGTTACATATATGTACATACTCATACACATAGAACAAACATTGAAACACACACATTAGAGGGCTGAGAATGTAGCTTAGCTGAAAGAGTGCTTGCCTACCGCACACAAAGCCCTGAGTTCAACACCCTGCACTGGGAAAGGCAGGCACGGTGGCACATGACTGTAATACCATCTCAGCAACATTCGTGAGTTCAAGGCCAACCTGAGCACATGTACCTGACATAACAACAAACCAAACCAAATGACAACAAAAGCGGATACATATTAGCACGAGCCTTAGTAAAACTGTCTGTAGGCATTGGGACGTTGTCAAGCCCTGTCAAGAGAATACAGGTTTTGAAAATCTCCACTTTTCTCTCTTAACAGCTCAAATTTTATTACTGGCAATAAACAGGCAGGTACTTTTCTCAACCTGATTTTACTTCTGAGCAAGAAGTAAAATGGTACGTCATGCTAAGCAATCCCAATGAGTTATGTTTACGAAAATATAATGATAGTGGAAAGTGCTCACCAAGTGAAGTGAAAATAGGTGCAAAAGGAGCTTCTAGCCCACAGTCTCAGCTCCACGTTCACGTCTCTTCCTGAGGCTATCCTGAACTGGGTAATATGGTGCCAAAACTGAACCCAAAACTTCTTATGTGGAAACAGACACCTATTTCTGTTTATATTTTGATTCTTAACTATGTATATACAAGCTTTTGTGTGTTTGTCCATGTGAACACAGGGGCTCTAGAAGCTAGAAGAGGGGGTCAGATCCCCTGCGGCTGCAGTTACAGGCAGTTTTGAGCCACCGGATATGAACGCTGGGAACCGAACTTGGGTCCTCTGCAAGAGCAGTGAGTGCCTAGTGGCTGAGCTATCTCTCCACACTGAAGCATCAGTTTCTTTGCTAAAAGAATTTACAAACGTAGATGATAAGTATTATAATCCTTAGGATTATAATACTTTAATATTTAAGAATTAAGGATTATAATATCTTTAATATTTAAGAATGTCATTCAACCCAGCTGACACACAAAGAAATAAATTAATTAGCAGGCCTATCAAATCTGGAACAAATGAGGTCCTGTTTAGTGGGACACAGGATACAAAGAAGCACATATTTATACACGCTTCCAAAAAGCATCTTCCTTTTGACACATCATAAATGGGTCGAGTCCAAAATTTGAAGTGGTCCTCATTAAGACCAGAGGTTCTAACCTGTGGGCTATGACCCCCTTGCAGGCTGAACAACTCTTTCACGTGGTTACCTAACACTATCGGGAAACACAGATATTTACCTTACAATCCATAGCAGTAACAAAATTACAGTTATGAAGTATCAATGGGAATACGTCACCACAACACGAGGAACTGTTAAAGAACTGTAGCATTAGCAAGGTACTGCTAGTCTAGAAGGTGCTGTGTAATTCCTTAAAACTATTTCCATCACTGCTGCTGAAGTACACACCAAACTATATAGCTATTCAAGAATCAAACCTATATGGGTTGCATAACCACCTGCCAATAGAGACAGATTAACCAATCCAGCTCAAACTGCTAGCTTCTCATATGTCTGAAGAGTTTTCTAAAAAGACTGATGCAGAGCAGAGGACCTGTTCTAATGTCAGGTACTATCGGGTTCTGTAAGTCTCTTTGGTTTTGACTATGAACACAAGATCAAAGGATTCCAGCAAAATTTAATACCAGGCCCATGACCCTGAGCACATTCTGATTTCAACTTTCACATGTGCTGTCAAGTAGAGAAAAGCCATCCTTGGTTGAAAAGATTTTTCTTTCTTTTCTGGTCTGATGGCTGTATGTGCTGTTCTCTGTTCTTGTTTGAAAACTCATTAGGTCACTGCCCGTATTCTTTGCCTTTACCCTCTCTAGTCTACAACCTTACATTTTAAAAATCTGTGCTCACTATCAGTAGCTACTGGTCAGAGTCACAGATGCAAATGTCCCACATGAAAGTATCACACATGACACTATCATTCTCCCATCATGATCGCCGAAGGCAAGGAAGAGTTCTTTCTTTGCTCTTTATTCTTTTTCTTCTGTTTGCTTTTGAGATGGAGTCTCACTTTCCAGCTCTGGCTGGCCTAGAATGAACTATGTAGAAGAGGCTAGCCTCATATTCACAAAGATGCACCTGCCTCTGCCTCCTGAGTGCTGGGATTTATTCTCACGGCAATTGTAGCTGGTTCTAGTCAGCTTACAGAATACACAACTGAGATCCAAACACAGCAGTAAGCTGATGATTTACAACTGTGGCATGATTCAGACTCACCCTGGGGTGGCTGTTAAGAATATTCCTCCTACCCACACCCTGATTTTCAAGTTAATACATCTGGATCAAGGCCCAATAATTTGCATCTCTAACATCGCAGGTGGTGCTGATCCTCCTAAGGATGTAGACTTTTAGAACCACTGTGCTACTCAGATTAACCAGCTTGCCCTTGCAGAGGGTTCGATGTGTGCTCAGAACACAGAGGAATGTCAGCACAGACACTGGAGGCAGATGGAGTAAAAAAGATTAGAATGCAGACACATTTTCCCAAAACTCAACTCGAGAAATGCTTTTTTTTTCACCTGTGTAGTTTTACATTCTCAATATATACCCTTCCAGAAGGTCTATTTCATGCTTTGGTTTTACACCATACCACCATCAGTGAGTTGCCAGAGTCACCACCACAATTCCGACGATTCTGGCAGAGAAGCACTAGAAAGAAACAAAAGCCCCCAGTTCCTTGGCACCCCTTAAGAAGCACGTTAAGAAGATGGTGTTCGAAAGACGGATCGTAAGAGGTTGAGACTGTGTCCCCTTCAAACCATCCAACAGGTGAGCAGCACTGACAGGACAGTGACTTTCCACACTGGCTCATTGATGGTAGGAGAGCTCCACTAACCCAGGTTACTGTAGGAGAAGGCGCTGAGGGCAAGAAACCCAGAAAATGGAGTGTATGCAGAGAGACACCTTCTCAGAACACTCCTTTTGGATCAGAGACAGGATACCCCAGAAACCTGGACTCCCCTGA